CCTAATAGGTAACCTAAAACTTCCTTGTTGCAATATAAGCTCACTACTACTTGTTTTATCTTCAATAGATGTTTGTCTTCAGCGGAGAACAATTGATCACCATCGTCTTTATAAGAGCCCTTTATGTATTTGTAGCCTTTTATTAAATACCTTAAGTGTGCTTTTCTCAAGATTACAGAAACTCAGTTCTTCCAACCCTTCTCCATATGTCATGTTTTTTAGACTTGTCATTTTTGTTGCTGTTCTGAACTTGCTCCAATTTGTCTGTCTTGAAGTGCAAAGCCCACAACTTGGATGAAGTACTTCAGGGGAGGCATTGCCTGTGCTGAACACAGGAAGAATCGCATCCTGTAAACTGCACACAACACTTCTATTAGTAAATCTCAGTATTACTTTTTTGTAATAATGACACTGTTGATTTATTCAGCTGGTGACCCAATATAATCCCCAGATTCTTTTCTGTGGTACTGCAGCCTAGTCAGCACTTCCCCATTTTGTATTTATGTACAGGCAGTCCTTGGACTTACAACACAATTGGTTCCTGAAGCCACATCTTAAGTTGAAACGTTGTAACTTGGAACCATTTTCCCATAGGAAACAATGTTATAAATTGGAGATTGGTTCCTGAACCAAGGCCCGATTACCCTATGTTCACCAAAAATAACCCAGAATTTTGTACTCAATCAATTATAGATGAGTAATATAGCTACATTAATGTATTTATATTGTAAATAGCAATCATATTGATTTGGAAGGACTTCTTTGAGCAGACTTTGCTGAACTTTTTGAAGGGTTCTTGGCTGGAGTCTTCCCAGGAATCTTGGCTGAAGGTTTTTCTGGAGTCTTGTCTGCTTTCTTAAAGAAAGTGTCCAAGCAAGTTTGGACAGATGTTCTCCAGGGAGATGGGTGATGCAGTGAACTTGTCAAATCAAATGTTGTAAAGTCGAAACTGACATCAGAGTTGAAACGGTGTCAATTTACAATTGTTGTAAGTGCAAAATGTTGTAACTCAAGGACCATCTGTATTTGAATACTCCTTCCTTAGTATAGTAATTTGCACTTACCTTTACTGAATTTCATCCAATTTATTTTAGACCATTTTTCCATTTTGAATCCTAATCCTGCCCTTAAATAAGTATGTATATTTATCTTCAAATCATTAATAAAGATATTGAACAGGACTAGACCCAGGATAAAATGCTTGGGGAAATCCCACCTGATACCTCTTCCTGGTTTGACACTGAGCCATTGCTTACTATTCTTTGAACATGATCATCTAATCATTTATACATCCACTGTACAGTAGCATCATCTAAATTATAGATCCTTGGCCTACTAATCAGAATGTTATGGGAGAGATATCAAACTGAGATATATGTCACATACATGGCTCCCCCTTTATCCACAAGGCTTGTTACCCTGTTATAGAAAGAAATTAGGTTGGTTAGGCTTGGCTTATTCTTGACTGTTACTTATCACTTTATCTTTTATGTGTTTACAATATGATTGTTGATGATATGTTCCAGTATCTATCTGGGTATCAATATCAGACTGACAAGTCTGTAATTCCCTGCATTCTCCTTTTTACCCTTTATCATAGAATCACAGAAGATTAGGGTTGAAAGGGACCTCAGGAAGTTATCAGGAAGTTATCTAATCCAAAACCCTGCTAAAAACAGGGCTGTCCGCAACTGTATCATCCCAACTAAGCTTTTGTCTAGTCAGGTCTTAAAAAACTCTAAGGATGGAGATTCCACAGCCTCTCTGGGTAACTGGTTTAAAATAAACCTGGTTGAATACAGTATCAGATTTAACTGATTTGGGTCAAACCAGTTTATGAAACTTCTGTTCCAGACTTCTTCCTGGTTCAAGTTAGATCACAGTCTCCCAGCAAGTTTTCCATCCCTGTGCTGTGCTGTGCTGTGCTGTGCTGTCTGCTCCAGCAGAGAAGGGTTGGGCAGGCGGTGTCATTGGGTGCCTGCAGATGTCATTCCTCTTGTTGCTCTGGCTGCACAGTTAAAGCAACTAGTGTTTCTAGGCTCCCTCTGTCTCTGGATTCCCCTTCCCTGTCCCAAGAGTTGGGGCTGTGCAGTCTGGTGCAGCTTGCAGTGCTGGGAAAACACGTGACTGAAACTTGGAGTGCTTAAGAGGCATAATGCAGTGGAGGAGCCTATGCCAGGGAGCTGAGAGTGAGGTGGGGTATGCAGTAGAGGAAGTGGAGGTGTGAAGCAGCAGAGGGGAGGACCAGAACACACTGCAGTGGAATGACAGTGGGGTGGGGGGGGTGGCACTTTGGCATTCAGTGCAGTGGGGAAACATGGTGCAGAGGAACAGGCACCAAAGCACACAGTGAAGTGGGGAGGGAGGCAAGTGGTGTGCAGCCCCTGTAGCCCACTGCCCTTGCTAGTCTGGCCCAGTTGTGGCATGGGGTGCATGCTGTGTGGCCCCCAGCTGCTTAGAAATCAGGTGGCCATGTAGTAGGGCAGTATTACTTGGACCATGGCTTCTGAGTCATGAGTGGTTCTTATCAAATCCAGCTCTTAACGGAAAATGTTATCAACTCCTTTTCTTTTGCACCATGTATTGGACATGCCTTTCCTGCACTCATGAATAACATTGTACATGCACTATCTACTTTTATCAGTCATTCCTGCTGTGCTGTGCAAATGTTAACTATCACACTAGCTTTTTTAATCTTTTGAACTGAAATGTTTGTAGTTCGTCTAGGGGTTTGTTCTGGCTTATTGGTTGACAGTGGCTCACGTACCCTCAGATCTCGTACAACTCAGCGTTGCAGCACTAGAACTGCACCCAGCCTATTACAATGCTTAGAGATTGAATCTTTGCTGATAGTCCCAGTTTCTTCTGGCAGACTGTTCATTCTTCTGTTATATTCTCTAAGAGATGAGTAAGATTCAGCAGGAGAAAGAGATAAGGGACTAAGAATATGGGGGCTCCCTGAGTGGATCCCTAAAACGGGGAACCTTTGCCCTGTTACTGAAGGAATGCATCAGGGCCAGCAGGATTGGCAAGGGCCTTTTAAGAACAGGGTCTTTGTGGCCCAGGGAAAAGGCAGTGGCAAGGGCCTTCAAGGAGAAGCCCCAGGTAGCAGAGGGAGAGGGGAAGGGATAAGGTCCATGCAACAGCCACTCCTGTGCCCTGGGGAGTGGCTGCATGTTGAGGGGTTTGCAGCCAAAGGGCAGGCAGATGGCAGAGCTGAGACTAATGAGCAGCCTCTGTGCTTAGACCAGACAATAGGCTATGCCAGGGGCAGGCAATTATTTTGGGCCGAGGGCTGCTTACTGAGTTTTGGCAAGCGATTGAGAGCCATGTGCCAGGAAGTGAGGGGAAGGTGCATATTAATTTTCTAAATTTTTTAGGGGCCCCACAGGCTGGATAGAATGGCCTGGTAGGTTGCATCCAGCTGGCAGGGCGCATTTTGCCCACCCCTGGGCTATGCTGACTGGAAGGTGAGGGGTTCAGGGGAATAGACTTGTCCTCAGGTTGGAGGGGAACTCTAACCCTGACTAGGGAGGAGGCAAGACTCCCAGGTGCACCACAGTAGTGCCCAAAACTAGTAAGGGGGACCCTGGTTGGTAAGGACCAAAAGGGTTTTTTTTCCCTCCTTTCTCTTTTGACAAAGTCACGGGATCCAGAAGGGATAAAGGATATCAGTTCATATTGGGTTTGTTTGTGACTGCCTGGAGGAGGGGGGTATTTTAGTTTGAAGTGGTTGCTTGCATTTTGTTTCTGTTTGACTGGAGGACCGGGAGTGGTGTGAGGACCCCCAGGCATGAAGCTTAATTTAATTCCTAGCCATGCCATGGGCACCAAGAAACCAAGGCCTGACTAAGACTGAAGGTAGCAGCTAGATGAAGTACGCTTGGACCAAGAGGGTCAGGGCCTGGACAAGTATAAAAAGGGTGGAGCTAAATGACCCAAGGGAACCCTACTCTAAGGCTCAGGACACCTCCTTTGTACTTGATGGTTCCACCAAGGCATCAAGGTGTGGCAGCCAGCAGGATGCAGGGCAGTGGTTCAGCAGAGCTAGAGTGGGAACAGGCTAGCCAACCACTTAGTGTTACAACCTCCTGGCAGGGCTAGTTCTGCCCCAATCCCCAAGCAATGTAGTGCAAAATTGGTAAAGGGTGGGAGAGGAGAAGCCACCTATCTGTAAGTCAGCCAGAGATCTTGCTTGGAGGAAATAAGGGGATATTCCCTATCCACACATCTACTTTGCAGGAGGGCATAGGAGAGGATGCATCTCACTTAAATAAATTTAAATTGCATTGTGGGTAAAGTTTCCCTTAAGAATACCCTGGATTCTAAGACTTAATGAATGTATATTAGGTTATGATACTCTGTATATTAGGTTATGATACTCTTTCCCATTAAGTTTTTTTTCAGCACTGAGCAAGTACCCTTGAGACATGTCTAGTCAGTAAAAGTGGAGGTCCTGGGTTATGAAGGTACCCATGCTGCAGAAGATATGCCTCTTAGCAAGACTGCTATGTGCAGTTATTTAAATTAAGGCTCACTTTCTCATTTGTCAGCCTAATGTGATTCTTGATTTCAGTCATAACTTCAGGTTTGCCTGCAAACATGGAAACTGGTCATGTATTGTGTGGTAGAGATAATAGATCCAAAGCCAAAATATGGACAACAGTGATTGTCCAATCGGTAGCCAACATCCATGTCTTCACTGTACACAGAATAAGATGACAGCAGTAAAGGTGAACAGAGGGAGGAATAGAATAATGCGGTATATGCTTCACTTGGTCCGTTTCTCTTCTTGCCAACAAATTTGACCACTGTTGTGGGCAGATTTCTTGCACCTGTTTTGTTCAGTTGTGTCTGTCTGTTTATATGTTGGCTCTACATTTCAAATTTTAAAGAACATTTTTACTATTTAAAAATTTAGTATCCTTGGGGACATGCAGACCTTTAGTTGGTATTCATACAGCTTAATAATGTGAAGTATGTTTTACTTTTCTTTTTAGGGTCTCTTGAAATCTCCATTCCTTCTATGGACAACATCACTATTACAATTAAACCCAGGTCTTCTATTCCACAACCTTGTAGAATGTGTCTCTCACATACTTCCTGTGTAACTGAACTCAAGATAATGTCTGGGCAAAAAAAACAATTTCATTTCAACTGTTTAATACCAGAAAAATATTTTGTCATGGAAATCCAGAGGAGTATAGGTAAGATTTGCTTTAAATTTTCACATTTTACAATTTTTAGTCTTCTGATAGTTCACAAGTGTCCAGTTCCTAATGCTGCATAAGTACATCTCTGCTTTAATACTGTTGAAGTATCAACCAAGGACTGAGTTGGGGAGAAATCCTTTGGAATTGATAACTAGAATATATCTTCTGAAGTGTAGAAATGACAGAATGTGTACACACAGTTTTGTATAATTCTAGCCCACAGTGTAAAATAATAGTTCACTTCTAAGGTTTAAAAGCATTTCAGAAAGAGTTAAGATAAATTAGGCACAATTTCTTTTTTTCTTTTTTTTTAAACAATTTTAAAAGTCCATCATGGGAAATGATGTATCTGGAGATCACCTTTTGATTTCAGCAGGGGTCTGCAGTAGCAGCTCTGGTTTAGTATAGGTTGCACTGTGTGACTATGCAATGTGGAAATATTTGGGAGCAATCACCCCGATGTTTGTTTATAATGATTAAACTTTCATAAGGATAGATGGCTTGTACCCTTGAATAAATAAAGGTCAATGCTATTAAGACTGTAGCAATTTCAGTTAATACCCTATAACTAGGTATAGCAATTGACAAATTAGGCTGTCACCTATGAAAGCTTATGCCTCTCTCAACCAGTCTCCAAGATGTCGCCCTGCCCTGCCTAATTTCAGTCTAATGCTGCTAACTACCTCATTAACCTGGTACCTGGTGTGCACACACTTAATTCAGCTATTGAAATAGCATGACATATAATAGTAATTCTTATTGCAACAGACTTGTAGCTACCTATAGAGCACAAGAGCTTCTCAGAACCTTGTAGTGACAAAGGGGGGCAGGATTCTTTCCCTCATGGTCCAAAAGTACATGGCAGTTTCTAGCACTGGCAAATCATAACTAATCCTAAACTGTTAGCAGTATTAAACACTGCTACCAGTCTAGTATTAAATATTGCTCTTTCAGTCCTTGGGGCAATGTACATATAATACGTTATGTTGGTTGTAAAGTCGAGGATTTGGGAGATAGGAAGAGGCATGTTTAAGGTTGCCAGTACAACTCTAATTTATCACCTTGCAAACATGTACTGTTCCTACAGTCTCAAATGATCCGATCACATTTTTTTTCTGGTATCCCTGCCTCAGTGCAGAGAAGGTAAATTGTGTTCAATTTAATGAGAAACTGTTAAGACTTTTTTATTTATCTTTGTTCTATGCCAAAGTGATATTCAAACTGTCTTCTCAGAAGACAGAATTATTAATTTCCACACTGGCTTTTTTCTGTTCTGTTCATTGGAATTATTAGCCAAATGGTTCACAAGTGTTAATGAATTTATTTTAAGAGCACCTTTGTCAGATATGGGTGTGATAGTAGCTCCTTGTTACAGATGGGAAATCAAGGCACAGAAAGATCAAAGATGACTACTGTTTTACATGCGATTATATAATTACAAAATGCATCACAGTGTATGGGCAAAAAGCAGGTGAATTAAAGGTGTACAGGTAACTTTTAATTCTTTTGTGCCCTAGACTTCACAACTTTAATGATTTTAACATCATTTTTGTGGGTTATTTCTTAGGCTTTTGGAAAAGCGTACTAAAAAGAAAAAAATACAGACTTCTTCCACTTCAAAAACTAGGGTTATTGTTTGGACTAATAGACTACCATCTTCTGTGGGAACCAGCACTCAGGAGGACTGACACACATGCTAGACAAATGGATTTTTGAGCCATTGCATTACATTACTTCAGTGTAGTGCAAGTAGCATAAACAACTGTCACACCAGGTCCTGAGTGCCCAGGTCTGGGGCCACTTGGGAATTGAGGTGCCAGCTGGGGTCAGAAAGAATGAGCAGATTCCAGGGAAGAGCTGAGTCGGGGAGCCAGGAGAGTCAGAACAGGGTCTAGGAACAGGCCAAGACAGGAAGCCGGGAGATTGGGCAGTCAGAGAGCAAGTTGGGTCAAGAAGCCAGCAGATCAAGTAGAGAGTAGAGTCAGAGCACAAGCCAAAGGGAACACGTTGAGGCCTGTTGCTCAGATACTTCTTGTTCTGGGTCAGGGATTTATATGGGGAAACTGGGGGATCAGCTGATTCCAGTGCCAGTGTGTGGGCAAAGGGCTAGGTCCTGCTGGAGGCTTCAGGACAGCCTTGACCAGCCTGGGTGATCAGCTGTAGGGTGGTAGGCCAGGATGAGCAGCTGTGTTCGTCTGTTCAAGGCCCCAGTTTCGAAGCTGTGGCTTGACACCAGCCCATATTGGGCAGTGCCCTTCTAGGGTGTTGACAGGTGTTCATTTAATGGTGCTATGGTATCTGTTCCCCAATTACAACAATTGCAAGAGACATGATTATTAGCATTGGGGATCAATTTGTTGCAAACCCATGGGCTTGCATAGTGGAACCCTGGAACTGGGGAGCCTCACCCCTGTCTTGAAGTCCTGGTATGCCTGGACATGTGAAAACCAAAGATGCAACTGTACTGCATCTTTGGTTTTTAAAGACGCCAGTGTACTGCAAGTGCTGCTGTGTAGGGCTCCCCAGTTGTAGGGTTCCTGTGTGTCAGGAGGTCTGTAACCTGCATATGCATCTGGGTTGCATGTGGTGGGTTTTAAAGGTCCCAGCATGGTAGTAACATGGAATTAGGGAGCCTCTCCCCAATCCCAGGCTCCTAGTGCACTGGGGCCTTTAAAACTTGTGTGTACTACTGAAGCAGGCTGCAGAGTGAGGTGGCAATCCTGCTAAGCCAGGGACAGGCAATTATTTCAGGCCAAGGGCTGCTTACTGAGTTTTGGCAAGCTGTTGAGGGCCACATGACAGTTAGTCAGGGGTAAATAAATATTAATTTTCTTAATTTTTGGGGGGTCCTGCAAGCCAGATAGAATGGCCTGGCGGACCTCATCCGGCCCCTGGGCCGCATGTTGCCCTGCCCTGCAGCTAAGCCCTTGTAAACCCATGAAGCTTACAGGGGCCCAGCACCTTAAAACACTTTGCCCTGTAATCCTGCAGGGACTACAGGCCAATGCAGAAAATCTGCCTCCTGATAAGCCTGCATCCCAGTGCCAACAATCAGTGATTGGGAGATCAGGACTAGGGCAGCCCCCAGGCAGGTTCCAATACTGGAAGCTGCCCAGGTCCTTATATTGACAATCAGTGGATTGTCAACATTGGGATGATGGGGTATTCCACGCATTCAATTTATGGTATAAACCAGCCACAAAGATGTCCCACAGATTTTGCTGAATACCTTTTTGGCTGGTTAGCCAGTTTATTGGCATCTTAAATTTAATGACCATGTTGTATGTTGCTTTTTATAGCACAATTAACATTTTAATTTCTCAGTAAATGTAACCTGTGCCAGGGACCACATACATCTATCTGTAATCCGTGAGTTTAGAGGCAAATGCTTCAAGTACTAGCAATCATATTGACTCTCATAGCTTTTATGTGAGTCTTGCTGTACTTGGTATTAAAAGCCCCAGTTGCAGGAGTCACCATTCTTCACTTTCATTCAGAGAGTTTTCCTAGCACTCAAAGTTGTGAGATGCTTGAAAATATGAACCTTAAGGAAACTCCAAAACTGGAAGGCCAATAAAAAGAATTCCAAGTATATATAGTTTTCAAAATTTCTTGATTTAAATCTATGCAGATGTTTGGGAGGTAGGGGGGAAAAGAAGGGAGGAGAGGAGAGGAGAGGAGAGATGCAGCTTGACTCTTGGAGTTTTTTGAGCACTCAAAATTGTTGAGTCTCCTTCAGCTCTTTCTGAAGGACTGAAAAGAAGCGTATTAAATGTATAGTTTCTTGTCTTAAAAAGGTTTCTGGTTTGCATTTGCTAGCTGTTAAATTAGAGACAGGATCTTGCATACTTTAATTTTGGTGTGGGAGGGCATTAAAGATAACTAGATAAAAAGGAAAAGAAGGGAAAAACAGCAAGATCCCTTCCTATCAACCTTGTATGTATTAGCTGTTTTCTGCTTGTGTACTTTAGATTGCATAACGGGCTCATGCCCCTTTGGAGATGTTCACCTTTCACCATTGGGGCTTCCTCGTCTTAACAAGACCTTCATTTGGAATGTGAAAGCCAGTAAAAAGGTTGGACTGCAGCTGAAATTCTCTACTCCATGGTTAAGGCAGATTGGACCAACAGAGACTTGTCCAGATTTAGTCACTTACAATATCAGTAATTGCATTGACACCACCACTGTCAACATTGGAACCTTTTGCAGAAATGGCTCAGTGTCTCAGGTCAAGGTGCAGGGAGGAGTTATCATGTCTTTACAGATACCATGGAATGCAAGTCTCACCACCTCTGGCTTCAACATAGCAAACAGATCTTCCATAAAAAGTAGGTACAGTATACTGTTTACATAATTCCAGCTGGAATCAGCAATTGTATTGAAGCTTAAGAGAGATGCATGCAAGTTTTTATTTTATTTTTTTGTTCTTGTGTAACCTGAAATAGGAAAAATTCACTAAATCCACATTACCTTTTTGGTTTTATCAGTTTCAGTTTCCTATTTTATCTATGTGCCCACATACTAGGCCATCATACGACAGGGTGGGTTTGATTGAAATCAAATGGATTTAAATCACTGGTCAGGAAACCTTAATTTAATTTAATTTAATTTAATCGTTGTTCCATTCATCATCTTTAAAGCAACTTCATCCTGAGAAGGAGCGCTTCTCATGATGATGTTCCATTCAGGCAACCAGGCCTTGCATTTCTTTGTTGTACTGTTTGCATTTTGCATGCGTGCCTGTCTTACCCACAGGTGGAGGAACTTCATTAAAATATTCCCAAACAGGAACTTTTACAGCCTGGCAAGCCTGCTGCCATGATAGGTTTTCTCTTCTACCATACCATTCTCTCACTAGATCTTAAATCCATGGGGCAGCTATACTCAGAGGCTTATCACTCAAGACTTCTGGAATACTCTGCTCAAAATATTTCTCTTTTGTTTCTACTGCCCTTCCCTCCTTGCATTTATCTCCAGACTCCTTCTCTTTGCCCAGATCTACCCTACCCCCAACAATCCTCTATTCACTTAACTTCTTGAAACTTTGCTTAGAGAGAAGTAAGGGTTTGATTCTGTGTACACAAACTTGCAGAGACAATAGGGCTGATGAGTAGGTAATCAAGTCTGTTGTCTCTCATCTCTATATGCTGGTGTTAGCAAGGATGTTATCTCTAGACACACAAATCTACAGTTTGAGAACAAACTAAGCATCACAGAGAGGCTTAGACTGCACACAGAGTCCCATTTGGTAGAATATTTTTCTTTACTCTTTACTAATCTATGGAGGAGCCTCTGGGAACTCCCTAAGACTGGGCTGCTAATATAGTCCATGGCCTGTTGTGACCTGTTTGTAAAACTTTTCTAAAAAGGTTACATGAATATATTGTCTCAAGTAGTATATAATTAGAAGTAATAATCCCTAGTCCATGATGATATGGAATATGTTTTAACATACCTTAAATTTAAAACTATCTTGATATAAGTTAGTTTTGTTTAAAAGCATCTTAACAAAAATTCAAATAATACTATTAAATAAAAAAGATCTGATTTAAACAAAATCTGACGTTTTTTAATTAAAGAAAATCGCTGATTTCTATCCACACTGCCATACAATCATCTAAATGTTTCTAGAACTCAGCTGTACTCCTTTTCTCCATTGACCATTGTTTTCAACTTTTAGTTTTGCAATTACACCCCTAACATCTTCCTTCCCCCTCTCCTAGCTATCCTTTTATTTTATTTTTGTAAGATGAATTGTTCTGTTCATTTCATTGTCTTCCATTCACTTTATGATTTGTAAAACTTTACTAGTCTCCATTTTGAATATTAACAGTATTATCCAATCTGTTCTTTAGGCCAACCTTTCTGAGGCTTAAAAAACTAGTAAGTATTTATTAAGAATAACGATCTATGAATAGCAAGCTAATCAGAATGGGCAGTTGTTCATTGGCTGTGGTTTGCAGTGTTTAAAAAATATCCTAAGTTGCTAAATTCCTTGGGTTTAAATTTCAGTTCAGGAAACTGGGAGAAGAATGCCTGGGAGGCACACAAGTCTGTCTGGTCTTGTTTGTACAAACATTGTACAGTATCTTGTTTTATCCTGTTCAGTAATGTGAAACTTGTACAAACAAAGAATGACACACTCTGTGCGCTACTCATCCAACTCCTGATGACTGTTTTCAAGGAGGAGTTCCCACTTTTTCTCTGAATGTCATGGTCTTTGTCAGTTCTTCAAAAGCACACCTTGTGCATGCATCTACACTGGCTAGAATCACTGGTGCAGCACTGCACATGGAAGCTGCAGAAAGGACAAGGTGTCGACATCCAGCACAAGGAGAACATCCTCAATGAGTCTAGAACAAAGATTCCCAAACTTTTTCTTGTTGCATAGTTCCTTCCAGATTTACCAGCTGCCTGCGTCCCCCTGCCAGTACGTTTTATATCTGAATCCCTTAAATACCTATTATTATTATTATTATTATTATTATTATTATTATTATGAAAACTAAATCCACTATTACATAATTTCTCCCATGTTCCCCCTCCTCCCGCCCCCCCAGAGGTGTCTTGCATACCCCCAGGGGCATGTGTACCACAGTTTGAGAACCTGTGGCTTAGAATATCACAGTTCTCTGGCAGGTTGCTTTCGATACCTGTTATCCAGGAAATGGTTTAATCCATATGACTCCCATAGCCAAGATTCAAACACCATCATGTATTTGAGGCTTGCATGAACACAATACAAATGCACAAACACATTTGCTGGGTTTTTGGTTATAGCCGTGTTGGTCAGTGTCTCAGACCAGCAGAGACTCCCTGTGCCTGACGAAGGGTCACTGTGCCCGAAAGCTTGCTAAGAACTTTTTTTCAACTACTCAGTTGGTCTAATAAAAGATATCATATTTACCAAACACATATTTGAGACTTGCCTTGGATGCCCCTGTTAAATATCTTAAATTCTGAGATTTAAGACGTCCATACTGCTTTAAAAGCTATACTTAAGTTCTTCAACTATTTCGAATCTCTTCTCACCTTGTTAAGCAGCACATGTAGTACAAGTCATGCACTTCCTCCCAAAAAAAGCCAAGCCAAGAACTGTAATCTTTCATCTCCAAAAATGCTGGCCTGTTTATTACAGGCATTGATGGTGATTCTCAACCAGGGTGATCCTTTCAAGGGTATTGTGGAGTACCTTGGTTAGGGGTTGAAACACGAGTCACAAAATGAACCCAGAGAGATTTCAAATAGGAATTCGTAATGTTAAAAACATTCTGACTGATTGGTGTATCTAAATTCTTAGCAACAAAAAATTGCGCTTTTATTTTTTCTATTATGAAAAAATGAAGGAAAACAACAAGCTGGCATTTTCCAAGGGGCACCTGGAGTCTAACGAGGCTAAGAACGTGCTTCCAGCTGAAAAGCATTGATTGTTTATCCTTGTTCTTTGGATCAGCCAACAGAGGGCAATGTCACCAATTTAAATATGCACTTTTTGTTTTCTTTCATAATTTAGCCTGTTGCTGAGATGTTAAATAGTACTTTCAAATAAAAATATCGTTGTCCATTATTTTGCACATTACTCTGTTTTCTTTACCCTGCTGCCTATCTTTCCTTTTTCCATAACAGGATTGTGCATTATTGAATCTACTTTTAAAGGAGCGTCTTCTGCAACTCTGATGTCTCCAAACTACCCTCTGGGATTCCCAGAAGATGAGCTGATGACATGGCAGTTTGTTGTCCCGTCAAACCTCAGAGCAAGTGTTTTCTTCCACAACTATAGCCTCTCCAACTGTGAAAGAAAAGAGGAAAGGGTGGAGTATTACTTACCTGGTTCGATCAGTAACCCAGAGGTGTTTAAACTGAGTGACACGCAGCCCGCCAATATTGCTGGTGATTTCCACCTGTCGCTACAAGGCTGCGATCAAGATGCACAAAACCCTGGGATCCTTCGTTTGCTGTTTCAGGTCATTGTTCAACATCCTCAAAATGAAGAGAGTAAGTACCTATTTGACTATTTTCATCTCTATGCTGATTTCCACCCCCTGTTTCTTACATAAACTCTTTCCTGCTTTTGGTTTAAAAATATCAGCCCTGAGTTGCAACCAGCACACTTCGAGGCAAATACTGTTTTTTGACTGGCTGCTGTAGGAATTTTTGAACTTTGGACCCTTTCTGAGTTTCGGTAAGCAGGTTGCTTAGCAACCTTGCGAGGTTTCTGTTTCTGTGCTAGGTGTCAGGAGGTTTCATTGCAGCAAGGTGAACCATATTCCATACCTGCAAGAAAGGGGTAAAGGGTAGTATACTGTCTCATGGAAAATTGGAACTGAAGTTAACAGAGCTCATTCTGTCTTTACACACACACACGTTTCAGCATGTGTTTTCAAATCCATGTTTTTAAATTTTTTAAATTTAGAGTGTCACATCTTGCACTTTATGATAAGTAAGCAACTTTTCTAACAGAACATCCTCTCTCAAGGGTTCTGATTCAGTTGTCACTAAAGCCAGTGGAAGGTTTTTCTTTGAATAAGGTTTGGTTCAGGCCACTATGCTTTGTATGTTTCAGTATAGTAATCAAAGTTAGGTATATACCTAGAGTTTTATTTTCATGCTTATGAGTAAAACATTTAGGGGCCAGATCATTTTTTCCACCAGTTTGGGCACCTAAGGGCGTAACTGCACGATGGCAGCCATATACTGCAACTGGGATGGCCCTGTGTACCCCCCCACCAACCAGTTCTTGCTTGCATATTCCAAACTTGGAAATACACTGGTGAAAAGGCTTTGAGGCATCTCTGTGTAGCTGCTGTCAAGCATGCCTTATTGATTTCCACTGGGCTTGGAGTGCACAATGGGAAGTACATAGGCTGTGTGTTGGGAACAGCCCAGTCATGGCATGTTGCTGTCAGTATAGACTGAGCCCTAAGTATGCTCTTATTTCTCGTTTTTTCAAGTCCCTATAAAATGGCTAGCATAAAGAGTGGTGGTAGGCGAAGGTGGAGAGGATGTCTTTCTACTCACTGCTATTTGGTGATTTAGCCTTAAGGCTGAGAGAAAGGAGGTTACAAACTAGATGCTTTAATGGTTTTTCAGAGTCTTGGGTGGAATAGGATGCCTGGATGCCTAATAGGTGGAATGGAATCTGATGCTTGGTGGGCTTTCTTTTCCTGCTGCATGTTGGTAATAAATGGGAGCCAGAAGTTGAAACTCACTACTACATTATTAATTTCACTTCAACCTCATAGATCAAAGGGAACTTTGACCGTCATGGGACCTGGTGACTGTCTATAAACTCACTAAGGGGGACCAGAAGGGTTTGGGAGAGACCTTGTTTCCTCTAGCGCCCCCTGGCACAACAAGGAATAATGGCCACAGGTTGTTGGAGGGTAGGTTTAGCTTAGACATCTGTAAGAACTACTTCATGGTCAAGGCGGCTAGGATCTGGAGCCAACTTCCAAGGGAAGTGGTGCTGGCTCCTACCCTGGGGGTCTTTAAGAGGAGGCTTGATGCCTACCTAGCTGGGATCATTTGAGCGCAGTTTTTTTTCTCCTGCCCAGGCAGGGGGTCAGACTTGAAGATCTACAAGGTCCCTTCCGACCCTACTTCTATGATTCTGTGATCAAGGTCCATTCATATGC